GAAGGAAGGAAGGAAGGAAAAAGAGAGAGGAGGGAGGGGAAGGGGGGAGGCGGAAGGAGGAGGAAGGATGGAGAAGGGGAAGTCAAATGAGGAGAAGGGGAAGGGGAGGGAGAAGGAGAAGGAGCATCCAAGAGTCCCCATTGTCAGGAATTCACCAATGAAATCAGTAAATTAGAGACTCCACCCCAGTGAATTCACAAATACTTAAGAGACCCCACCGTAATGAATTCATGAATCAAATAAATAACAAAGGACCCCACCCCTAATTCTTGACACTACAACTCATGACAGGATCATGGTTCTCTGCCTGCACTTCGCTGCATGGACTTCAGTGGGAGTGGGGAAGGGCAAAAAAGCCAAGCAGGGGATTGTGACCAAGAGCTCAACCACTCACCCTTTTTCTACTGGCATCACACGCAGGGCAGGACTTTCATTCTGCAGCTGGGTCTTTATTTTCAGTGCACCTGCACAGACACCCCAGCTCTGCAGATCAGGCCTCCTTTCATTCCCTGGGATGAACAACTAACTTTTCTTTCTTCTCCTTATTATCCATCTTGGAAAGATTTTGGGAAAATCCTGAAGCTTGAAATAATCTGGATTATTTATTGTCTGCTTCTGCACCTTTCAAGAGGTTCTAAGGAGTAGAACCTTGGCAGAAAAAGGACAGTGACGCGTGTGACAAATCAAAGCCACCAGAATCGACTAACTGGGTGATTCTGGATATGCAAACCCCAATTATTTATCCTTATTTTTGGGGAAACAGAACTGGGACAATGCCACCCCACCTGGGTCCAGCTTGGGAGCCACCCAAGTGCATCTGCTTGGCCAGGAAACTGTCCCAGCGGGGATTTTGACAAGATCCAGCAATGCTCTTCCCCTCTGACAGACCGGGAAGAGCTGTCATACAGAAGAGGGAATGGACTTATTCTCTATCACCCCTGAAGGCAGGACAGAACCAATGGCCTAATATTACAAGGAAGGAATTTTAGGTTGGACGCCAGGAGAAAGTTCCCGATTGTATGAGCTGCAGCCAGTGGAACAGGCTGCCGCATGACACGATGAGTTCTCTCTCCCTGGAGATCTTCCCACAGAGGCTGGACGGTCATCTGCCAGTTCAGTTGCCATCTGAACTAAATGTGCAGAACGGAGAATCGGAAGGGGTCTGCGGGGTCCAACCTGAGGGGGTTGGACTGCAGGACCTCCAAGATTCCCATTCTACGATTCTACACACTTAGTTCAGAGGTAAACCCAACCAGTAAATAGGACTGGGAAGTAATTGTATTATCTGAACAGTAATCCGGAATTAATCCCCCAGAGATGCTTTGGAGTAGGTGGGAACACAAAAGTAGGAGCCCTCTGCCCTGCTTTAAAGCATTTTCTAAGGGGCTGCAAATGGGTTGCGTTTCCATGCGCTCTGAAGCAGCATCTGGAGATCACATCCAAAGCATCACCCAGCCTTCTTCTCTATATCAATGTTTCTCAAACTTGACAACTTTAAAATGTGTGGACTTCAACTCCCAGAATTCCCTAGCCAGCATGCTGGCTAGGGAATTCTGGGAG